AAAATTAAAAAAAAAAAAAGAAGCAATATGAAACAGTTGTAACTGGAAAAGAACAAATCATGGAAACCCCAATGTCAGTTAGGACTTTCTTCTTCACATTGTCAACAACCTAAGCGACTCTATGGCAATACATGTAAACATGCCTTGTTATATACAACCATCCTTCTATGCTACAACAATCAGTATATAAAAAGTTTCATGCTTTGGTTAGGAGGGTAAGGAGAAAAAGATTCTTTCCAGATGAGGTATGGGGAAAGCAGGGCAGGGATAGTAGAATGGGGATCAGTGAGGACCAGGGGAGAGCACATGAAAAATATGAGGTGTGACAACATTCAAGTAGTGTTCTGGGGACTGAGAAGTCTGTTCAGGGAAGCAATTGTATAAGGAAATGATGGTAAGGAAGGAAAAGTGATGGGGCACCAGACTGGAAACTTAAGTTCCAACACCAGATGAAGGCAGTTGAACCGCATTCTACTGCTTGAGTTTTTTGGAGTTTTGTTTGTTTTTAAACAAAAGACAGCGATGTGATGGAACAAATGCTTAATAAGTTTTATCTGAGAGCAAGGTCCAGATGGACTGGAGGGTGGAGAGACTGATAGGAAGCAACAACACAAGTTATAAAAGTCCCTGGTTAGACAAGGACCTTAATTAACTAAGATGGAGAAGTTACAAAACAACCCTTTCTCTGGGGGCGTGTCCAAAGGAAATTTTTAAGCCGCTTCTTACTGAATGTTAACTCATGGCTTTCAAAATCTTGAGAAATTCGAAATCATACTTAACCAAAATTTATAACTTGAAGCTATCTGTGCTCATGACCACAACAAATAATCGAAGGATTATTTGGCTTCTAAAGTAGAATCCCTTCGGTTTTCTGGGCTGCTGACCAACCAGTTCTCTAAGCACAAAGAGCTCTAAGTCAAAATCCCTCACCCCCGATTCAGTAGCGTCCCCGCAAATCTCACATGCCTCAAGGCTGCCACTGGACCTGCGGGGCTCCAGGCCCTGACAAAGAAAGCAGAGCCTGATCCTTTGGGGAATATCCTATTTCGAGTCTGATGTCCTTAAAGAATCTGAGAGCTTTTCCCCCCGCAAGCTGCTGCAGAAAGACAGTGGACTCGACCCCGCCTCGCTTCACGAAGCCCCTGGCACGGAGCCAACAGCTTCGGCACAAGCCCCGGCGGCAAGGCCTCCACATATGGAGGCCGCGGGAAGCCCTGGGGGCGTCCCATCACCTCACTCCACGCCCGGGGCCTTCGTCCAGACCTGGCGAGGAGGCTCCGGGCCCGGGCTCTCCCAGCGCCTCAGGCGCAGGGCCCCGCTGCCTCGGTCCCGCAGCGCGAGGCCCTACGGAGCTTGCGCCGAGGCCTTTCCGTGCCGCGCCGTCAGCCCTAGTCCTTCGCTGCCCGCCTGTACCGCTCACCCAGAAGATGAGGTTGAGAAAGACCAGCACAGTCTTGGAGGAGGTGATGCCGCACTGGCCCATCGTGCTGGTGGCCCGCTGAGGCCCGGCTCGGCGAGCGGGGCTGCGCTCACCGAGCGAGGCGGCAATGGCGGCGGCGCCTCCCGGCTGGGAACTACACGTCCTGCGCGGTGCTCCCCTCAGCCCCCGACGCCGTCGCTCACCCCCAGCCCCAGCAGCGCCACACTCCTCCGCGCAGCCGCCGCTTTACCCTTAAGGCCCCCCGCGCAACTCCCTGGCAACGGAGTCCCGCCCACCGCGGCCGAGCCGGCAGCTTCAGCCAATCGTTCCAGTGGTGCCCGCAATGAGACCACGCCTCTTAAAGGGGCGAAAGATTCAGAGCGTTTTCTTGGTCTCTGGTCGCCCTTAGACGCAGAGAGGGCCTGTTAGGGAAGTTCAGGTGGACCAGACTCACCTTTTATCTGCAGAACTATGTGTACTGTGTCAGCCTTATAGATGATTCAGAGCCCACAGAGCTGTCTTCCTACCTGGTCCACTCTTCCCTAGGAATGTCTGAGACACTGACTGATTTCTTCCACTGCACATGGAGATTTTCCTGACCAGGTATGTCATCAGACAGCAATGTTTGGGAGAGACAGTGAACTTCAACAGATATTTATGGAAAATTTATTGTACCAGACACTAGGCTACCTCTTAGAAGTCTTTGTTAGAAAGGAGGGAAAATTAGTGATGGGTTGGGAAGGCAAAGACATGTTTGTGTGGGTGTGTGGTTTGGGACAAGGTAGAACATCAAGTCTATTTCAGGGTAGTACATTTTGGGCCTAGATTTACACCGAGTACAGAAACACCCTTTTACGTTGCAAGGTTTCACAATTGTCTCCTAATCTTGGATCAGTTATAGCAATGAACACTTATTGACTGCTTACCATGTGCCAAGCTCTTTGAACCCCCTCAACCTTAGGTGGAAGGTACTATGATTATCAGCCTCATTTTACTGATGGAGAAATTGAGGCTTAGAATGGATAAGAAACTTGTGGAAAGCCACAGAGAGAGGAGGTGGTGTACTGCATAAACCTTATTCTTAGCTACACACTAAACTGCCTCTGCTCCCTGTCTTCCCAACCATTCCCAACTCAACTGAGCTCTTAAAGACATCCATTTATTTCCCCTTAATCAGCTCACTTTCCCACTTTCGCTGCTTCCTACAGCACTGCTGGCTAATCACTTTCCCGAAGCCCTCTCAGCAAGACCTTCCCATTCTATTCATTTGCACCAAGCCACCTAAACCAAAACCAAACCTATTCCCATTGAGTTGATTCTGACTCATAATGACCCTATGGGACAGAGTAGAACTGCCCTATAGGATTTCATGCTTGGTAAGGTGGAGAGTCGACGAAAGAAGGGAAGGCCCTCCACAAAATGGATTGACATAGTGGCTGCAACGATGGGCTCAAGTATAACAAGTATCATGGAGCTGGTGCGGGACCAGGCAGTGTTTCATTTTGCTGTGTATCGGGTCACTATGAGTCGGAGACAATTGGATGGTACATAACAACAGCATAGGTTTTCCAAGGCTGTAAATCTTTACGGAAGCAGACTGCCTCATCTTTCTCAGAGACTAAAGTGGGTTCAAACCACCCAGCTTTTGATTAGCAGCCAAATGCCTTAGCCACTGCACTACCAGAGTTCCTTGCTGGCCCCTACCCACTACAAATTTCTTTCCACTTTGACTCCTTGCTGAGAATTTGCATTTCCACCCCTAGGTATGTTGAATCAGAATCTACATTTTAACAAGATCCCCAGGTGATTCTTATGGACCCCCAGCTTATTCATATGTTTGAATCTTGTTCAAGTGTAGATTCTTGTACATTCTGATTCAGCGTACCTGGGGTGAAAATTTAATATCTCAGCAGGGGGTTGAACCAGAATAAACTGGTTCAAAGCCCAGTTTCTCTCTGCTTTGCCTCCTTCCCAAAAACATTTCTTCATCTTCACTCCTGCCTTTCCATTTCCATGAGGAGGCCTCCAACCATTTGCCATTTGCCATCTGCCCTTCCTTACTGGAAGGTGGGCCTCAGCTTCCTATACATTGGAAATTCCATCAGAGTCTCAGGGGGTGGGCCTCAGGGAATTGGTCTTTGTTTTGAGCACCCCAGGTGATTCTAATATGCTGCCAGGAGTTTGAACCACTTGCTGGAAGCTCATAAACATGCACCAGTCTCTCCCATCCTAGAGAAACTTCTTAGTTGACATTGCCTTTTTCTCCCTTTCTTTTTTCTCTCAGCCAAAGTTCTTGAAAGAGTTGTCTTGTCTAGCACTTCTCAGATTTTACTGTACACACGAATCATCTGGAGAATCTTGTTAAAATGTAGAGTCTGATTCAGAAGGTTAGTCTGGGGCTGAGATTCTGCATTTCTAACAAGCTCCCAGGTGATGTCGACACAGCTGGACCACTCTTTAAGTAGTGAGGGGCTGGAAATCTGGTCGTCTTCACTTCTCACTTCTAATTTGCTGCACTGTGGCTTCACCCCACTGTCTCAGTGAAATTGCTCTCGCCAAGGTTGCCAATGACCTATCGCTATCCCTTCTCTGAGGAAGCATATAAAATGGTTAAGAGCACAAACTCCAGGGTCTGACAGTCTGGGTTTAAAATGAAGCCCTACCATTTACTAACTGGGTGACCTCTCTGAGCATAAGTATCCTCAACTGAGAGAAGGGATAATGGTGATGAAGACACCTACCTCACGTGACTGCTGTGAGAGTTAATACACTTAGGAGGGCAGGGATGTTTCAGTGGCTATTGATGTTTCCCAGGATTCTGGTTCAGGCCTTTTGAGGATCTCACCCTGCCTGGATCATCTCACCCAGTCTCTTGAATTTGGTTACTATCTAAGTGTGGAGCTCTCCTGAATCTGTAACTTCACCTCAGCTCTTTCTCTCAATTCCCTATCCTTCTATCTAATTGCCTGCTGCATAGTTACATGTCCTCTGTGACTGACCTTTTATACCAGGAGTTGTGGATAGAGCAGTGACGTGATTAGACATGTACCCTGGCCTCAGGAAGTATGCCAGCTGAAGTAGAGATTAAGCACTAACTGCACAATTATTGATTTAATTGCAATTGGGATAAGTGATACCAACTCCTGACTCAAACTTCTCAAGAGTGTATAACAGGGACCCTGATTCCATCTGGGGGTGACTCATAAGTGCTCCTGGTTCAGCATGTCCCAAACTGAGCTCATCATTTCCTCCAAGCCTGCCCCTCCTCCACTGTGTCTGTAGCTCAATGAATACCACACCCACCCTCTCACCCAGGCCAAGAGCTGGGCATCATGACTCATATATTTTTCCTCACTGACCCCTTCTACCCACTCGGAGTGGAAAATTAACCTTATTAGGTAACTCTCGGTACCCCAAATCCCTACTGTGTAGTGCCCAAGCAGTCTGATTTTGTCCCTACTGGCAAAGTTGTTCTTACAATTGTCCTATAAGAAAGAGAACAAGTGAGGCAAGGTCCTCCCCAGAAAAGTAGACCTACTATATGTCCCTCTATGCCTGACCTTGGCACAGCTGTCTGGGGGATGATGGGAAGATAGGGTACTTGTGCCTTCTCATACTGACCCTTGGTTTATAACTTTTCCCAATAAACTCTGTTTCTCTTTTTTTCTTTTTAATTTTTATTGTGATTTAAGTGAAAGTTTACAGAGGAAATGCACTTTCCATGCAGCAGCTCACATACTTTGTCTCATGACATTGACTGCAATTTCCCACAATGCAACAGCTCCTCTCCTACTTCCTCCCCATAGTTACCTTTTCCCTGTGTCCTTCCCGCCCATCCACTTCTGCCCCCGACATGTGTCCCTGTTCATACACAGCCCTTCTAGTCTCCCATGATTGATCTCTCCAAGGAGTGTATCTACCTAATGTAAATGTTTAGCTCACATGCCTGTCTTTTGTTTGGCTGGAAGCTATGGGAGTTGGTTCAATTCCAAACCTGAAGGGCAAATAAGGGCCATAGTCTCAGTGGTTCCATCAGGCTCTATCAGACCAGCAAACCTGGTCCCCCCCCTTCCCTAAGGCACTTGACCGCTAACCAGAAGGCTGGGGGTTCAAACCCACCGGCCACTCCTCAGAAGGAAGGTTGGGCAATCTACTTCCATTGTGATACTGCCTTAGAAACCCAAGGAGGGGTCACTGTGAGTTGGGTCCGACTTGACGGTACATAACAACAACAACAACAATGATTTTCAGTTTTGTTCCACAATGTTCTCCCACTCTGTCCAGGATCTCCTACATAGATCCCCCTCTGAGTGGTTGACAGTGGTAGCTGGACACCATCTACTTCTTCTGTTCTCATAGTCATATAGGCTGAGGATTGCATGATGTACCAGTCCCTTGGACTAATTGTTTCCATATGTCTTTGGTTTTCTTCATTCTTCTTTGCTCTGGATGAGGAGAGACCCATTGTTGCATCCAGATGGCCACTTGCAAGCTTTGAAGATCCCAGTTGCTACTTACCAAAGTAGGATGTGAAACAATGTTTTTGTGTAGTATGTTATCCCAATTGAGCTTGGTGTCTCCTGCAACTATGGTCCCAGGTCCACAGTCCAACTATTTGCTCCTTCTAGGTAATTGGCTGTGGCCAAGAAATGACTGCAACCTTGTGCCTTGTCAGCTATACTATATACCTGGGAATTCTTACAGAACATACAAATACACTTGTAGAAAGATTGTCTGCCAACACTATACATGGTCATGGGCACACTCCCCCCTGCATCCAAAACCAAAACCAAACTCACTGCCATTGAGTCAGATCCAACTCATAGGTAGGGGTATCACTACAGAAGTAGATTGCCCAATCTACCTTCCTAGGAGTAGCTGGTGGGTTTGAACTGCCAGACTTCTGGTTACTAGTCAAATGCCTTAGGCATTATGTCACCAGAGATCCTCCTCCTAATAGTTCAGCCTGTCCACCCATCTATCCACTCGTAGATCAATGTTTCCCTTCACTGACAATGCAGTACTGTATGTGCAAAAGGGTTCCTCTTTGTTGTCTGTACCTCCCATGCACCTCTCTCTGTCTTCCTCTTCCAATGCTACTGTGTTGATCACTCACATTTGGTACATTGCCCTTCTCTTTGCCCAAATCAATACTTGTCTCTACCTATTGACAGTGTTCCCTCTCCTCCCCTCCCACCCCTGATAACCAACAAAGAAAATTTCCATATATAAACCTTTTCTTGGTTTTTTACAATAACGGACTAATACAATATTTGTCCTTC